GTCTGCAGTTCGGTGGACTAAGGATTGCCCCACTGCTTTTTGCAGATGATGTGGTTCTGATGGCTTCATCGGTCTGCGACCTTCAGCACTCACTGGATCGGTTCGCAACCGAGTGTGAAGCGGCTGGGATGAGGATCAGCACCTCCAAATCTGAGGCCATGGTTCTCAGCAGGAAACCGATAGACTGTCCACTCCAAGTAGGGAATGAGTCCTTACCCCAAGTGGCCGAGATGGGTTTTCTCCGCAGGGTGGCTGGTGTCTCCCCTAGGGATAACGTGAGAAGTTTGGTCATCCGGGAGGGACTCAGAGTTGAACCGCTCCTCCTTCGCGTCGAAAGGAGCCAGTTGAGGTGGTTCGGGCACGTAGTTAGGATGCCACCTGGGCGCCTCCCTAGGGAGGTGTTCCAGGCACGTCCAGCTGGGAAAAGACCAAGGGGTAGACCTAGGACCAGGTGGAGGGATTATATATCTTCGTTGGCCTGGGAGCGCCTTGGGATCCCCCAGTCAGAGCTGGTTGATGTGGCCAGGGAAAAGAAAGTTTGGGGCTCTCTGCTGGAACTGCTACCTCCGCGACCCGACCACGGATAAGCGGGAGAAGATGGATGGATGGATGGATGGATGGATTGTTTACATAATACATTTAATTAAAGTCAACGTTTCAGTTTTTTCAGTGTAATAGAGTGGTTCAGTGATGACGTAATATTGTCAGACGACCCGGAAGTTAGCATTGCAAGTGGCCCCTCAACCAAAAGGAATGGAACTTTTCCAGAGGATTTGAGATTATTATATAATATATTACACAAATATAAGATATAAATTAACCACATGCAGTCAAGTCAACAAGGCTAAGCTAAGGGCGACTAATGTTCATCCTAATGACATTCAGTATTCTAATTGTGTCACTTGTTAGCAACTAATGTTATATGTAATGGAGACTGCTGCCCCCTGTTGAAATGCCATCATACTACTTAATTAGTATGATAATTAATTATCTGTGTTTTCACTGGAAGGGAGAGTTCATTCCGATTTAAAAATACACATTTACCCTCTTACTGCAGTGCCATTTAACAACCTTTTTCTTTTCTTTTTTGGAGAAATCTGCTGCGTAGAATTCTGCCTTTTCTCAATATTATGGAACTCTAGGTGCTTTGCTTCTGGTGCTCAAAGTTCCAAAAAATGTATATGATGTATTAATAATTTCAGTAATTTTTTCCAGCCAATGTATATATTCTGATCCCAGTTGCTCCATAGTGGGTGCTGCTGCTTTATTATACAAGCTAATTGATGGTTTATTCCCTATCTTTGGTTTTAGACTCAATAAACTATTTAAAGATGCTACCATGTCATAATTCATTGATCATTGAGTAAATAAATAATTAGTAAAAACTATAATAATTTGCAACCCTAATTGATATAGATTTGTAAAAGGATCTTCCTAAGCTAAGCTTTTGAGTTATTGTGATGTTGAAAACATTATTTTGCATGCTTATGCTGTTTATTAAAGGTAGGGTAGGTAATTCACTTCAGAAACACTTTTTGTTATATTCCAATGCTCTTCACATCCCGATAGCAATGAATACATTAAATGCTTTGACAATAAATACATACAAATATTTCATCTGTGGAAGCCGTGGTGCTGTAAAAAGCACGACCAATTATCTTTCCTCCGGGCCGGGTCAGATAATTGGATGGCACACGAACGCGCACATGACCAATGAGGGCACGAGATAAGTTTTTGCACGAGATGGAAGGCCTTCCATCTCGTGCAAAAACTTATCTCGTGCCCTCATTGGTCATGTGCGCGTTCGTGTGTGTTGGAGGAGGGGCTTTGTAAGGAAGTCTGAAGGAAGTGGCAGATTTTTTTCGCTTGTGTACTTTCAAATTCTAGCGCACTCGAGCTGGTTTCTCCATTCTTACCCTACCTTTAAATACAGATTGATTTCACTGACATTCTTGGTTCCACTTTGCGGGCTCCAGCATGAGGTTGTGTTTGGCCCCCTCCAGCTCTCTCCTCAGGTTGTTGTATTTGGCTCGCACCTCGGAGATCCTCTGCTGACGGTGCTCCAAAAACTTCAGCTTGGCACTGAAGCATGCAGGCCCCTGGAAACACAAACACATTTCACAAACTGTATCCTTGTTCATATTGCCTATAACATTATGTGAATAGCTTGCATTTTGCTATCTGGGTGTTTGGTTGAATCCTCCATGCAGGCACACACACAGGCTGTATTTTCGTGGTTGAATAAATAACAGCACCCCCCACTCTCTCTCTCTACACACTCATAAACACCATGTTAGTGCAGGGTGGACACCTCTACGGAGTGAGACAGCACTGTAAGCTTCTAAATAAAATTACTCTCTGATTATACTGTATTATACATGTAAATGGCCTTTTCAAAGGTCAGTACATATACATTTTAATGAGGGATAAAAAAACAACTTCTGAATATGACTCATGGAGCACTGAAGTACTACAACACCATTGCTATTATATTACAGCATGATTAATTTCCCTAATGTTTCCCCCCAATAATGCCATGAGAAAAATACTATCAAATAATGATTTGCTATTTAATTATTTCTTTTAAATCTATTTTTTTTTCTACCAGTGTGGCTCTTTGTTCTTTGCTGCAGCATTGACCCATTTCCCCCCATGTGGTCATTAAAATTGTATCAAATATGCAGTCCTTGAGACGGGGTGAGGCGGGGAGTATAGTCCCATGAGGCCAGACCTCTCGTCATGGGGACATTACGTCAGCGCCTGCACCACATTTTAAACACAAATGGGAGGTTGAACCTGATATCAAACCTTAGCTTAGCCAGGGTCAGTGCATTGTTCTTGCCATTTTTCAGCAACATACAATATCTACCTATTTGATCCCACACAACCCTAACCCTGCTAGCCCATTTATGATTTTTAAAGCAAAGCAATGCATTTCATTGTCTTCTTCAGGCTGAACACACAGAACATGCAACAGTTCTATAGCTCTGTAAGGCAATATTTAATGGCTTTCAGATTCTGGTCTCCGATTCACAACAATAATTATTCAATATAGCAGCAGCAGAAACTCCCTCTGGACTCTGCATTGACTTTACATGTATTCTCGCCGCCCCCAAACATCGCGTTGTGTCCGATGGGGTGAACGCAGCATAAGGTTTGTATTCTATTTAGGCGCCAAAAGAGGTTAATAAAGGTCATATTAAAAAAAAAAATCCTTTAACCTCCTGAAAATCAAAATGAACCAAGCACCTGTTTGTCAGCACCTGCTCTGTTCTGCATCCTCTGCACATTGTCGATCTCATAGACCTTGATCTCGTAGGCCTCTGGGATTCCCCGAGCCACCAAGCCAGAATGGAGACTGCTAGCCGAGCGTCTTAGGGGCAGAGGTGCATCATGGGAAACGCGACGCTGATGAGTACCTAGGTGAGGTAGAGTGAGATGCTGTATCTCAACCTGTTTTCCTTTCTGCTGCACTTAAACAGTAAAACCATTAAGTTATTCTAAATAAAATTAAAAAACCTAATCAAAGTATATTTTAGGTAGGATGGTGGTTTAGATCATTTAGGTTGTCCGCCATTAAATACAACAAATATACTATTTATGAGCCAGGCCGTTAGTACTGTCAACTATCATTCCACTCTAAAAGCCTCACAGCACACAGTAACAGCAGATGTGTAATGATGAATGAAGGCTGGTGTCCCTAAATGGCCTTCAATACCCTGGCCATGTGCCTGAGGGCAAATGCAGCTTGCCAGTGCAGCAGGAGCCACAATTGTGTTAATCCTTTGAAATTGTCTCAGTTGGAAGTACAGGAAAATATAATTTATGATTTGTGTCATTGGGATCCTAACACATTAAGAATGTGTGTTACTCAAATGCTATGGAAACAACTTTTATCAGAATGAAGATGAGTTAATTACTTGAACAAATTAAGCACAGACCAAAATTGATAACCCGATAAGCAGTAAAATGTGTTTAAGAAATTTAATATCATATGCTCGAATTGTATTATACATTTCTTCAGTGTATAATTACAATAGTATACACACATACCTTTATGATTTACTGTACCAGACAAACACTCTTCATTTTCTGCACTTGTGCTGCCAGTAAGTGCCGTCGCTGGTTCATATATTAATAATGTGACCTCCTACATGATTTGGCTCTTAATGAGTGATTCTACAGATGTCTGTCATCTCCAATTAATGTCACATTAATATGTTATGTGTTATTATAAAAACAAGTTGATGTGGAATGAACATTTATGAAAATAGTGAGGCTATTGGTTTGAAAAGTGTGCACTACATCATGTTTAGTGAACAAAATGGTAAGGTGGGTTTATGCAAAACCCTTTACTGAGCTGGATTAAGATATCCATAAGATCCATAAGGTCAGTTTTAGTATTGTATTTAATTGAATGGGTTTGAATGTGCCAATGCAGCATTGGGACATTGCAATCTTCAAACATCAATACAATGAAACAGTAATAAACAATTGACACAAGTAAAAACATACATTCAAATATCTACAGTCAGTTATCTTCCTTTACTGAAATAAATAGAAATAAGTGGTTGCATTAAGAGCATGATAATATAAAAATCAATCTAAAATGGTCATTTTGAGACCACTCATGCAAAACTACCATGTAAGACCAACAACATATGACAAGACTCGACACTTGGATGAAGTTCTGATCTGTCCAGAAGAGAAAGTCATCCTGTTCAGTTCATTTAAGGCCATCTATTCCAGATGTTTTACCTGTGTTGCCTCTCCTCCGAGATGCTCGGCTGCTTCGAGCCACACTGAGGAGCGAGCTGCTCCTGTTGCTGACAGAATCTCTGTTTGACATATTGCTGCCTGTGGCTTCACTGTCCCTCAGCATGCTGCCATATCCACTGCTCACCATACTGTTCCTGTTAGAAAAATTCAGGGACGTCTTCCCCATAGCTGGTGGCAAATCTCCACTCAACACACTGGTGGTGTCGCTCGCGTGCCCGCTCGTGTGATCTGGCGTGCGGGGAGCAGTCACCTGACAGTATGGCGAGGGAAGTGCGGTCAGTTGGTCCAGTCCTCCTAAAGTGGGGCTGGGGGCCCTTCCTTTAAAGAAGCCTGAGATCCGGCCATTGACGTATCCCTGGATGGCAGATTTTGTGGACGAGCATGTGGAGCTCTGGCTTGGAGTGCGACTTAGGGAGTGAAAATACATTGGAGGGGGAGAGGAGACAAAGGAGGAAGACCGCTCAAAACTAACAGTTTTACTGTCTGGAGAAAGACTGGCGCTGCGGTTGATGGACGCCTGCAGGCCTTTATGTGGGAGACTGAGGTTCTTGGTGCTTGGGGCGGACTGTCGACGGACTTTTGGGCTGGACATCTTCAGTTTCCCCACAGCAGAGAGTTTGGAATGGGTATGTCTAGCAGATTGAGATGCAGGCTTTTCAGAAGGAAAGAAATAATGACTATGGTCAGTCCGAGGATTCTTCCTGGGGCTCCTGCTAGCCCTTGGTAGAGCACAATCCCCCTCATTATTTCCTTTATAACCTCCATTTTGAGCCCCTTCAACACTTCCCTTAGAGCTCCCCTTAGAGCTCATGGAGCTGTTACGACTGCTTCTTTCCAGAGTTGGGAAGTCTCTTGGGATTCTTTCAAGGGAATTAGTCCTTGTGGCCAGCTGCTCCAGTTTGGCACTAAACAGCCTGCTACTGTCTTCAGTGGGTGACTTTGGCCTCCAACCCATGTTATCATGTTTCATTTTTAGATTTGAGGTCTCGAACAAAGATTCAACACTCTTCGTGGGAGCTCTACTTGCATGTTGTTTGTACTCTGCTCCATATTTCCGAGGAGAGCAGAGATAAGTGCTGTGGTTCGCTGGGGAGTGCTGTCTGCCCTGCCTCCTCTCCAGAGTTACTCTTGGGCTACAAGGGGTGGATGATGTCACCCCCCTTGGGTCTCTGTGGTTGTCTGCCATGTGAAAACCATAGTAACTGTCCTGGTGGATGGCATTTTGCCAGCCTCTAGGCAAACTACCTGTTTTAAAGGAGGCAGAGGCGGTTTCCTGGCAACCAGGTGGAACACCAATTCTCTTAGGGGCATTCCCAACACGACTGGAACCGATTTCTCCCCCCTCTGAGCCCTTTGGAGTGTTAGTGGAGTAAATATGGTCCCTGTCTATGGGGTGTTTTTTGTCTGAATGCCTTGGTCTCTTTCCACACATTTTGTTTTCTGCTGTTTCATCGCAGAAAGCTGAATCTTCCAAGCACATTAGGTCAAAAGGACTTTGGCTCAAATGTGAGTCGCATACTTTCTCAGACCTTTTGGCATGTGTATCAGAAGCAAAAGCCCCACTCCTCTTCTCAAGAGCCTTCCCATCTTCTCGACATTTGCCATTATTTCCTCTGAGGTCAGAATGTGGCTTGGCTCCTGTAAAATGTGGACTTTCTTTTTGTCTCGCAACATGCAATCCACAATCCATGTCTTTATCAATCAGAATGGGATTTATAAATGAAGGCAAAACCCTCTTTTCCTTTCTGAAGTGATACTGGGCCACTTCAGTGCTAGCCTCTGCAGGTACAGATTGAGACACAGAGATTTTGTTTGTATTAGAGCAGCCTGTAGGTAGAGTTTCCTCAGTGACATTGCTGATTATCCTGATTGGTTGAGAGCTTTGCTCATGTGGTTGTGATCGGGCGGTGTCTCTGATACAAATAATGTTTCCACCTGTCCTCCCTCTGTCCAATGCTCCACTGATGGTCACCTCCTCCACCATAGAGAAGACAAGTTCATCTTGACCCGTTAGGTCCAGCGGCTGTTGAACAGTTACTGTGATGGTGGCCTTCATTTCTTTAACGTCTTCTGCAGGGCGTTTAGGCAAGGCATCACCAATTATAACACTTGTTGCCAAGGAGAGTGAAGAAGAGTAGGAGGAGGGAGGGGATAAAGGGGAACTTTTGCCAACTGGTGAGGTCCTTTTGCCTGGCTTGAAATAATCAGAAGCTTTAGGACTCTCATGTTTACTTGTCTGCTGAAGTACAGGGGAACTGCCCACCATTCCCTGAGCATCCTTATTTAAGTCCTGACAAGAGCGCTTGTCATCTGACTTTCCAGTTTTAGGCAGCTCAGATCGAGAGGTCATGTTAAGACTGAGAGTTTGATTCAGCAGTTCCTCGCTGGAACTGGTTCCACTGCACTCTTCACAGTCATACAGGCCTGAATCCTCTCTTTGGAAACTGTCTCCTGGGAAAGCACCATCTGGTTGCTTTTCTCCAGCAGAGGTCTGACAGCAGGCAAACCCCTGATTCATCAATGTCTGTGTTGGCACTAATGATTTTGTGTCAGTTTGTTTCCCTGTTTCTTTCTGCGGTTGTGATTTAGCTGGGACATTGTTGGCAGAAGGGCCTTTTGAGGAAGACTTTAGCAAATCCATTGTTGCCTCACGTCCGTCAATACAGCCCAAGCGCTCTTGAAGTTCAGCAAATGTATCACATTTGAAACAGTCCCCTACTGGCTTCTTCACCTCAATACCCACTTGAACAGTTTCCTCATTCTTCTTCTCTCCTTGCAGCTGAGGAATTCTCAGAAGTTCCTGGAGCAGAGCAGTGAACTCTGGATCATCCATGTCAGCCTTGTTAGGATGCAAAGAGGGTATGATGGGCACAAACTCAGGTTGTGCCAGTCTTAAGGGTGCTCTGGAATGGACCAAGCCCTCTGAGTCTATTTGGATGACTGTGTCGCAGGACTGGTCACTACTGGAGAGCTCGTCCAGATCACCACGCAAACGGAAAGGAGGGGAGTCCACATCTACCTCTTCGGTGGAATGGAACGCCCGCAGGGACAAAGACGTAGTGCCTCTCTTTTCTTTAGTCAAACTCCTCCCGCTAGGAGAACAAGAAGTGGACTGCTGTTGGAGAAAGATGGATTGCGGAGTTAGTTCGAGAACAGGACTATGCAAAACATAAATCAATAAACAAAGCATTGGCGTGCATTGGAAAAAACATCCTTTACAAAAAGATCTCCAACAGTTTGAGCCATAAAAAGCTGGTGAAATGGTAAACCTTACAGAAAATGTACAGTACCTTCGTTCTCTTTTGCGTCTTGCGGATGCGAGAAGCCAGCTGAATTGTGGACAGGGTCTCTTGAAGGTGTGCCAGTGAATCATCCACCTGAGCGATCACTGTGGTGTGGCAATTTACACGGCCCAATGCCTCTTGAAGGAGCATAGTCAACTTAGTGGCCCTATGCAGAAACAGTGCAAATGTCCAGATGTTACTAAATGGATGAATCTGTCATTTGAAACTCCTAAGCAGAAAATATGTACATTTTCTAACTCTGCTGTATTTGATATTGTAGCACAAGTATTTGGCCAGTATAAAATCGGTTTACAGGCAAAAAGCTGATTAACAAAATAAGAACACCAAAAGCTCAACTTCAGCAAGGCAGTTTATTCTACCAACGTGTTTACAGCAATAATAATTTGACGTTCTTACTTGCTGGGGTTGGTTTTATGTCCACTTAGTAGAGACAAGACAATAGGGCCAAGTTCCGAATATGGAGGTTTATTCTTGCTCATGCCCCTTATGCCACTACACACATCTATCATGGTCAACTTAGTGGGGCCACGAGAACCTGAGGATGGTAGAGTAGAGAGATTATTCAAAAAGCTTCAAACATGAATTATAAGATATATATGAAACTGCATTAAATCTAGGCTTTACTGTTAAACATGATAATAGCGATACAAAAAATTCACCAGAGATAAGTCCCCCTAGTAATTAAATAATTCATAACAACCTTTGCCAATGGTGCTGCTTTCTGTACGTGGGGGATGGATGTGGAGAGTGAAGAACATTATGGAGCTGTGGGACAGGTACGTTATGAAGTCATTGTGGCGACGTGCTGCAATGGCAGCATCCAGGAGGGAAGCAGCCCGCTCAGCAGTGGGGGCCTTCACCCGGTTGTGGTTACGAAGCTATAGAGAGAATAGAGGATACAATCTGATGTGGAATCTTCTCATAAACTGCTCAATAAAGAAAATCCATGTATGCAGTAGAATTCATTTTCTTAGCAGTCAATTAATAATTAGATATAATGCCCCCCTACGCTAGAGGTGATGGCTTGCAATTGGCAAACAGCATTATGAGGGTGGAAACAGCTACTCAACCATAATGCATCAGACGTAATTTGTTATGCAATCTATTAGGCTTTACTAAATACGAATATATTTTCTTCTCACAGTGGAGACCATTGCCCAAATTGACTACTTAAATAATCATTAACTCTAATCCATGTAGTCAAAGCTTAAAATCTACTTAGAGGAGTCCTCTCTACAGTATGTATAATATGACCTACACCTCCTACTTAATTTGATTTGTGGACAATAAAAGCACCCTATTAATATTGGCTCATTTTCTTGTTCACAGCTGTTAAAACAATTGTGAAATAACACTTGTTTGTGCGGGAATTATTGAGCCTACGAACCATTGCCACTAAAGCAGAGACAATAAAATGTCAGCATCAAAGAACACGGCCTCGGCTTACTGGTTTCCAGATTTGGGACAAGCTTTTAATTGTTTCCAAAGATTGCTCTTAGACTGTACATTATCACACCAATAACAATAACTTGTTTTTTTCAACTTTATTTTAGTTTTAAGGTTGAGTACACCAACGATTTAGGTCAAAGGACCCCTTTGTGCTTGTGCAGAGAGACAAAGCAGAAGAAGCAGCTCTTTTAACAAGCCCCTATTTCTTAAAAAAAACATGTTCTACTTCTACCTGGATCCCATAGACAGGGTCCTCTTGGAGTTTAACATGGGCTTTTGGGCTGTTGTGGACACTGCCTTGTGAGGGGACGACCTCCCCTAGCAGATCCCTTAGTGTGTCCTCCTCTCCGCAGCAGAGCTCAATAGCAGACACAGATACAGTCAGGTCGGTCCAGGTCTTCTCCCTACGCCGCTCTATGGCGCTGTAGAGCCAGGAGATGGCACAGGGAATAACCCCAAGCTTCTCAATGCTCTCACCATTCCCCACCATGCTGGACCAGGAACCTGAGGCAGACAGCAGAGCAAACATATGAATGCATGCAATATACAGACACACAAGCACAATGTACACATACATACAAATGCTAACCTTCAAACACATGAGCACCCCATCAACGCATACATTATATACTTTAAGAACAACAGCTTTTCTTGTTCTAATATGATACCCCAAATCTGCCAGAAAGGCCACTATTTTGGTTCAGACCTAAATATCTCTAGTCCTAAAAACTCTCATCACTTCTCTTCTTCTCTTCAACATTTATTTTTGTCAAATGTAACGAGTGACATACTACGCTGCAGTAGTCAAGATGCTAAACTAAGATGGAGAAAATCGATAACACACCTACTAAATATTAGTGTTTTAGCATTGTCACTGTAAGCTTGTTAGCTGCTCATGGAGATGTTAGCATCTTAGCATTTAGCTAACATCACCACCAGTTTCAGTTTTTCAGAGAGGTCAACTTGGGTGAGTAATATTAGATAATAATTTATTTCAGGTTGAATTGCATATCACTGGCTGAAACCTGGTGAACTTATCAAAAACAAAAGAAGCGGCTGGCAAGATTATGTGTCACATTCCAAAAGTTGTATGACAAGGAGAGAAGCGCATGAAAATTCGGTATGAGAACATATTACCCACACTACGAATACTTTCTAGATAAGTACATGGTTACACATATTTAGAACTATGGATGCACTTGCCCACTAGTCCACAGCTATACAGTCCAAAGCAAATACATGCTAAAGTTGCCTGTGAAAATGAAACTCACAAATGAAGAAACATAAATAAGCTCTCAAAAATGTACTTATAAATATGGATCAAATATACAGAAACACACCCAAAAACACTTTCAGATTTGATTCAGAATTATGCCATACTCTATCTCCAAGTGCACTTTTGCCCCACATTAGCTTTGAGTTATGAGCCTGTATGGACATCTCTTGTCTTATTCAAACTCTAATTGAATAAGGATAAGAGAATTGGCTTTTCCAATTAAAGTCTAAGCTCCCTGCCCTTATTCAGAGAGAATAGTATGCTGTGGAGGAGATTGATATTCCCTTGGCTGAGGGCCACATGTAGTTTGTATTGGCCAACTAATTCAATCAGATTTACGGAGAGTGGCTTCATGTGAAAAAGCAGCTCCAAGGAGACCCTGTCCTTACCCTGTGTGTGTGTGTGTGTGTGTGTGTGTGTGTGTGTGTGTGTGTGTGTGTGTGTGTGTGTGTGTGTGTGTGTGTGTGTGTGTGTGTGTGTGTTACGCTTGCCACAAATCTATTAAACCCCTTCACCAATGCTAAGTGCAGGGTTCCATCTCTCTAATAGCAACATATTACAGTACATTCATTTTACAGTCCCCACTGAGCTCAACGCTTCAGCAAAACTAAATATTTGTGTCTTTTTGTAAAGCAAAATGTCTATAAGGCAAAATGGGAAGCTTTCAATAAAGCATGTGTTGTTGTATAATAGATGAATGGGCTTTTATTTACAATAGAACAGGTGAAAAGATAAATGACTACAGTTTTCTGTCACTAGTGTAGAAAAATTAGCTAAGACCAAGAAAGCCAGACAGGTGAATCAAGATTGATAAGAGGACAGATAGAGTTAATGGAGACAAGGAATTTAAGTGATAAGGAAAGAGTGAATGATAGGAGGAATGGGACGGAGACGATGGAGGAGGGGTGGATGGGAAGTACGGCCCCTTAGAACAGATAAAAGCGTCCCACTCTCATCATAAGATTTGAACCCATGCCCTCTCACAGTGACCGATTACTCACCCACATCAGCACATCCCAAACCCAGAACACATCCATCGCTGCCGCTGAGCACACAGCGGATGACATCAGCCAAGGCGCCCGCACAGACCTCGGCCTAGTAACAGAGAACAAAGAACAGCAAGCATCTTATGATTCATTTCCCGCACTGAAATAGAACATCCAATGAAACAAAATAACTAAGATGCATACTGATTCTGTAGATTCCCTTGGGCTCAAATACTGTATCACAGTATACAGTAGGGCTTGGAGAAGGTTGAATTTAATTGATGGACTGTGTAATAGTGGTGGCTATCCAGGCCCTATCAGTTTTTAGGTCATTAGACAAAGGGAGCAAACCAACCGTGGTGTATTGTACAGAGGAGAAAATGTACACCGAAAACACAGAATGCGGCAGGCAAATGGCACACTATCACATTATCTGTCAATATAAATCAATATTTTGAAGCCTAAATAGATAGCCGATTTTAATTAGTAATAAGGATGAGAAAACAAACCTGGCTTGACTCTTGAGGATATGCTGCCTCAAAGTTGAAGGTCTTCAGAAGATTGTTGCCATCTCTGCCAAGTGTCATTGAAACGTGTAGCTGGCTTTTGCTCACTGGTTCCATTATGGCGACTCTTTTTTTGGACGGGTCAATCCAGAGAACAGGTGGTCGGCCTTGGCTCTCTGACAGCGTTGGGCTCACCCTCAGCACAACTTTGACCTGTACACCACAGGAGATCGAAGCATGTTGAACATTACAGTATACTCTGGTTGAATGTCTAAATATCTAAATGTGTTGCTCTACCACTTCGGTTTTGTCAGAATATATCAACAATAATCGATGAAATGCTATGAAATTTGGCTTATTATAAGCCTTGGCAGAATGATAGCAACACAAAGTCATGATACATCCTACTTGGCTTGGTTGGTTGATTGGTTATTACTGGTTGCCATAATTAGTTGGGTTTCTTAGTTTGGCATGAGCAGGAGGAGTGATTAGGGTTAGGGTAACATCTTGATCAGGGTTAGCTAATTGGCTAATAATACTTAGCCACGTGCTATTGTTTGTTGCAGGCAGAGCATGTGTTTTGGCTTTTAGCCCAAAGGAACATTTCAGCATATTTAGATGATGGAACAAAGGCATTACACCAGAATAAGAGTATTATGTGAAGAAAAATGTGTTGAAATGGTCCAGTCGAACTATGCTTTCTTGTTACTAGCTAACTATTAGCAAACTAGTGCACTCAGCTATTTCTGAGTTAGCTATGGAGCATGCAAGCTGAAAGATTAAATGCCTTTTACAAAGGGTTGAGTGAACACAACTTTTTCACTTACCCTTGTATACAAACTGTATACATATATATAGCCTACGTGGAAGGGCTTTACATTTTAAACTACTCTGAGACACCTTAAAAAGAAAATTCCATTATTTATTAAATGAAAGGAGTGAGTCGGTGCTCTGCTGCTGCTATAGCAACATGTATGTAAGGGATTTTAGAAAACAGAATGGTTCAGCTAAGATTGTGCATGTCACTCTTTACTTTTGAGAATGAAACCAGCAGCAAACTTATTAAAAAATGATGAGTTTCAAAACAGAAAGGTTAAAAACTATCTTCATATTAAATTCATTGTGTTTTGGTCATCATGGAGTATTTGCATCTTAAAATCCAGAAAACACATATAAAGTGTTCTCATAACTCTAAAATATATTCACAGACTATATGTATGCCACAAATATTAAAGTTATCTGTTGCAGTCGCAGTTATGATTTGATATTCCTTTAATCCAAATCAGGGGTTTTAACTAAACCTAAAATCAAATGTAGCTGTGAGAGAGGGATGTTAATGTCATACTTCAGCTCTGAGCTACTGCTGCTCAGCCGTGGGAGGCCAAAGATAATATTATATGCAGCGTAGGTTGCAAGTAACCTGGAACATGGAAGCCTTGGCAGAACAAAGTTGTACATGTCAGAAAGGATTAGCTCTTTTGCATTGAGGAGGTAAGCTAACAGTGGGGTATTTTACTATTGTGAATGTTTTCAACTGACATCACTTCAATGACATTTGTACCATTTCACAAATCTGACAATCTGTCCTTTTACGTCATATCAATCAACTGATGTTGAAAAACAAATAAATGTATTTATTTAGGCTGCAGAGGACATCCAGTTGATCCAGTTAGGGCAGCAACCATACATGCACTTACAGCTGCATGGCTATGCATACCTCCTGCTATATTTCCTCATGTCATGACATTAATTCCTTAATGCAGTTCTTTCCATGAAGCCTTCGGATAAGGATGCTATAAGGTCTTAAGTTAGGTCTTGACTTTGACAGCCAATTAACAGGACTCATGAGCTGTATTCTGCTGGAAGACAAGGTAGCATTAACCTTACAAAAGACAATAGGCTCTGTTAAGGTTTCTAAACCAATTATGAAATGATTCTTAATCAGGGTCCAGGTCTGCAAGATTGTGAATCGCCTTGTAATCCAGTCAAATGTAGTTTTCTTGAAATTGTCCAGGACTGCATAGCACCACCATGACATCATTGAATGATTGATTCCATCTGCCACATGATAAGTTCCCAGTGTCTGTGAAATTGTTTTTCCCCTTCTCCAATCATAATTGTAATACCTTATGCAAGAAGTGGCTCCCTAACCCTATTGAACATGTGTCAAACTCTATTTATGAGGGTTAAATTATTCAAGCCACCAATTTAAAAGCGGAGAAAATCATCCTCCGCTCTCACACACATATTTATTATTGCACGCAGAAGCATACTGTACAGGGCTAAGTGCTTGTGCAGGTGTGGCTGGCGGTTGGTCTATCTGAGCCTTGTCTGTAACTCTAGACTAAACCCAAGAGTCCATCAATCTGAGACAAAGGGAGGCAGCCATATTGATCCCCCCAGTTTCTCCCAGAGGAGGTGAGTAGAGGGAGGGGGATAACAAGATGGAGACATTAGCACCGTATTACAGTGTATCATAAGGAAGGCCTGATATAGGATCTCCTCCAAATTGACGTGATCTCTTTACTCTGCAGCCAGGCTGGTAAAAACACTTCCAGGGTGGCGGTTGTGTGCAAGCAAGTTATTATATACTTTGAGAGATATACCACCAATCCCGACCTATTCCATGTATTACACATTGCAATATAAAATACAAAGCCTCCGAGGTAACAGGGCATTTTCATTCAGTCACTGCCGGTCTCCTCATAGTACATGAACGTATTCCGATTCCTATGATTGCGAAAGGTTATTTTAGATGTTTTAATGCCAACGCAATCAAGTGTGGCTGTATAAGCCACCGCAGTGCAGAACTTGTTTAGGCAACAAAGCTACTTTCATAGGGTTAAAAATATTGGTAATTTTCGTAAGTTACGTAACTTTTCCGTAGCTTTACGTATGCTACGTATATGTACGTATGCTACGAGAAAAAGTAAGTAGCCATTGACTTTTGGTCAATAATGTACTTGTTGCCTGCTGAGTAAAGGTGATGTATTTGTGTCAACCTAAGAGGTAGTCCTTTCTTACCAATATATTAGTTACAAACAAATGTACTATGTTGGTTAAATAAAAAATATTATAATTTGTGTAAGAGTGAAAAGTGAATAACAACAGCCTGTACACATTGCATCATTTATATGTGCATTACGACTGTATGGAATGTACTGTAGTGTATGTGTGAACTGTGATTGAACATTTTCATGGGCGAACGGAGCAAGAATGGAGTTTGGACTGGTACCACATCACTGTAAATTGGCTGCCCAATGCTCATAATACTATGATGGGTTAAATGCGGAGACTTCATTTTTCTAAGTGTGCGGTGCTGTGTACATGTTTGACGATTGAACATAGATCAAATTCAGCTTCATAGCATACAGAAAATGCATGGCACATCACTTATTGGCAGGAAACAGGTAAAGTGCTGCCTCCATTATTGAGCATGTGGTGTGTTTTTTTCCTTGCAGTTGTCCTGCGTTGATGGATGTGATGTGCTGCAAAGAGCCGCACAGAGTTCAATTGTGTTGAACTTTTAACCCGAGCTTCACTGATCTTTGTGAGAGCAGCTAATGGGCGTAGCTTGCTCAAGCAGGGATTAAAGATGGAGGGTGAATGGTTAAGGTGGGTTACTGGAGATAACTAGTAAATCATAATTTAGAATTGAGACCAAACTAGGTGAAATATCCGTTTTCAGTATAAATGCTTAGGTTTGATATAACGTTAACCTAGCCTGTAGTGACTTCACATGAACAGTAATGTAAAAAGGTATAGCTTATCAATTTGGGGAAATCTTCTAGATCGAGGAGAAGGTCGATACCACTCTAATGTCTTTAATGTTTTTACTAATATACACATTTTGTGTTTTTAACCTATATAAATTATAAACCAACAATGTCAAAGTTGTACATGTTACATGCTGCTTCTCCTTGCAGTTTTAAAGCTAAGCTAATTGCTATTGACTGTAGCTTCAAACTTAGAATACAGATATCAGAGTGGTATCAATCCTCGTATTCACATCTCAGCAAGAACATGGAAAAAGTGTACTTCCCAAAATGCCCAAATATGTCTCAAAATGTCTCAAAGAGTTAGCATTGCAAATAACGACTTGTAAGTATCACTTAATACAATTTCTGGTATTTGAACAAAAGGCTTTGTATAACTTTGAATTTGGTTCCTCATGTAATCATTTGCCAATTCTTTCAGAATCAGGGCGGTTGCGAATAATTGCTGGTATGATAACCAAATAGCAACAGCACCAAATGTGGTTCACTGAAAAATAGATAAAATCAGCATTTAGTGTGAATCTACTGGAATTCGATGCCCAAAGGTACCTTGCCAACACCGGGTGAGTCTTTGGTCCTAGTGGCAGCTTGGAGCAGGCAGGAGGGGATGGGCGGAGGGTTTTTCTGGATTATCTCCATGAAGCAGGTGGAAAAATGAGCGGGAGCTTGATCAGAAGCCTGGCCTTTTTTCCTTGTTGTCAGATTGAGCTTCTCAGCAGCCCTGCAGGGAAGAAGGGAGGTGGCATGTCATACCATTGAAACTGATGGAGTACAGGCACGTTGCAGACAATAAAACATTTTCTGTTTTAATGTTTACCTGGCTAAAAGGGACATAGCAGCAGTGTTGGCGATGGTCACCACTCTGGATATCTTTGAGTTAGTCTGTACAGTCCCGGCACCACAGCCCAGTGCAGCATCATCTGCAGCCTGCTGCGGGAGAAAGCTCATTATAAAAAACAAAATCTGTAATTGCACCCACCCCAAAAGGGGCTATTATCTTGGGAATTACTCTGGGGACGGTTGTTGGTCGCGTCTAAATAGGGCATGGAGGCTGAGAATGGGTTAAACATACACCATTAGTCATAGTACAGCTCCAGCTAGCTGCATGTGGAGTGTGCGGAATAGTGTGTGATGGCTGTAGTGACTGCTGGCTGGGTTTGAAGCATGACTCAGAGTTGAAGAGGAGCAGGAAACACTGCCTCTGACACACACACACTCACACCCTCAGTCAGGCAGCTCGATGTAAAGCGAATTCAACACTTACACAGCTGTAGCTCCGAGGCGTGTGTTTTGCACTCATTCATAACTGTGCCATGTATGCAACATATATTCCTCATGCATTGCTGCAGGCCACATAGGCTAGCCAACATGTTTGTATAACTCATATACCGCTCTCAAGCTCCACGTCTCATCAGTGTCTCAGCCCTTTTTTTAGGGCAACATACAGTAACAATGTCAACTCGGTTTCGTTCTTTAAATAATGTCCAACCATAAACTGCCAATTAGTGCCATGGAAGAACTGCAGGAGTTTGAAAGGAGACTGGAAGGAGAATAAAGACAGACTAAGTTAATATAAGCGCCCATATGTAATGTAAATAATGTATAGATGGTCCCCCGCCCCTTCCATGTCTCCTTGTTGAGTCATGTCTTCTGTCATAGCCTTTTTTTTATCTCTTTCTCTCTGCTCTGAAGTCTCTCTTCTCCTCCGCCTTGAACTCCATCACCTTCTCTTCTGTCCTTTTTTTCTGCTTCCCATCTTGAACACTCCATTTCCCTTTCTTCTCATGCAATGCAATTTTCCTCAGCTCTGCTTTTTGTCTCCTCTCTCCTTACTCTTCTTCTTACTTTCCTCTTAGTCACATTAACCTGTATTGATCTGCTCTCACGGTGAACCTGCCTGGCTTGATTCTCTTGCTCAGCAAAGAACTGTTTAGTTTGAGTAAAATGTTTCATTGTTACCATCACATTTCATCAGACAAGTCGATTAAGAACAACAGCCTAATTACAGTAGTGCTCTCACGGCTTATTCCGTCTAATTGACCATTTGTGAAACCCTGCAGCTTCAGTTACTGTTGCCATGCCTGTAAACCTTCCCGTTCCTGCACTACACATAAGGACAGCTTTACCAATTTAAATTATTGGTATTTTTATAACAATAGGTGCTTCATTTCAGACCGAAGTAGACAAAAGCAGTAGATTTGGCCGGCAGAAAGCAGATTTATCAGTTAGTTAATTAAGCTAATGCTAACTCGATGTACCTACTGCCGACGAGCACAACACATTTCATTTGGTTCATGTGCATATTCTGGTTTGGATGTTTTTTATTTTAGAGCTTATTTCAAACAAAGCATTTTCTGATATGGATATGTCAAAGTTTTTTTGCGTTTCAGGAGTATTCTTTTGACATACAGCGCATTCAGAATCTGTGTCTCAAATGATTTTTGAGGCAGTTTGCTATATATGAAATCCTATTTTGACTGCTGCATGCAGAAATACTAGTGGAATTGTCATTGTCATTACTCATGTAACGGCTTAAAGGAATACTGTCTTTTTTGTCGAGCAAAATGTTGACTATTATCTGTATGTAAACAAGTTTTCACGCTGACTAATTTAAGAAAGAAAACTCAAGTTAAGGTTACTATATATGAATAATCTACTTTAATACTAAAAATAATAAGGGTAACGTTTAAAGGTTCTTCACAGCAGATGATCCATGTAGACAGAAATAAAGCTAAATAATTAAAGTGTATAGAGCAAACGGTATCAAGCCATAATGTTTTCTAAGGAAAATATGTAAACTGGGCTTTTTAGGTATGGCTTTTGGTATATTTTTAACATAACAAAATTAAAAAGGTTAAAGATGAGGACTAACTGTTATGTTTGCGTTGCATAATGTGCAAGGCAATTCATTCTTAACGGACAGAATAGGCTCCATCTTTGGGTCTGGCGCGCAGTACCTATAAAACATTCATGGTAGATTCGCACACAGCCCAATGCACGGCACCTCATTATGTGCGTACTACGGTTGCTAAACTGTGATTGGACAATTGCTCTTCCTGGGAAGGGTTACTAAATGTTTAACGTGATGTTTATGAATCAACCACGTCAGAAGACATCTTCAATAAGTACATCAAAGGTTGGATAGATTTATATTAGCCTTTTGTCCGTTTGGATCAGGAGTAAAAACCCACTGAAATCAAACTACCTAATCATACAAAGCATCTGAGACACCCTCACTCACCTTGTACAGGTCTACAACCTTTTCATGTGGGACGTGGGGGAGGGTGGGCTCAAACTGGATGTGGCTTCCATCTCAGTAATGCATATTTCACCAGTCAGCCGCCCGTCAAATATGACCATCCCCCTATTGATCACAAGTGCTTTTTGACTGGCCAGCCTTTATGACAAGGGTAAATCATGACCCAATTCCATTCCATTAGCAAAAGTACTTTTAAACAACGTCCTCAGCCATGGGATCTAAATAGGCTCTGATTGGACACTATGAATCATTGCTTTGCTGACACGTGCACCCGTAAAGAAGTACTTTATCCGTATAGCTCATTAAAAGGGGAATGCACACTAAGGGAAGTGTTATGTGTGATTTAGTGGTAAAGAAGGCTTTTAAAGGGGTACCTTATGATGAGAGTACATGGTGACACCATCAGCGCTGGACGCAGATTTAGAGGCAACCAGCTGCTGCTGCTCCTCCACCCAGCGGCCCATTTCGGGGTTGGGCGGCTTGGGCCCCCTCCGTCTGAGGGTTTGAGGGGTCCTCTGAGGTGTCCTGGGGCTCCTGGGGCTCCTGGGGCTGTGGGGGCGGCTGTGTGGTTGATGCACAGCGTCTCCATGCTTTGTTGTATCACTTAGTCCCAGCAATGAGCCTGTGCTAAAGCTGGGTTCAAAGGGAGGCTTAGCCAATGACTGACCCCTGTTCAGAGCCAAGTGGACCGCCTCCTGTTTGAGCTGGTTCAGGTTCACACCGCAGGACCCACACTCGCCCTGCTCCCTCTCTCTGCCCCATGGCTCATTGAAGGAACGACTCTGGACGTGAAGGTTGTCGTGAAGAAACGTGGACAGGTCACTGGAGTCCTGCAAAATAACCAAAAGAGTAGTGGAAATAGTTGTACATTTACTTGAAGTAGTACCTGAAGGGAGCCTTTCATTGTGTTGCAACAAATTAGACTAACCTAATGGGATTAAAGACTCAGGAAATGCTTCTGGTGAACACCTAATAGCAAAGCTAATTTGATTTCTGGCCTGAGGATTACATGAATTTTCACTGGGCAAGTGGAGATGGAGTCGTGGGGAGAATGATCAATCAAAGCACGGAGCAAAGTAATCAAGGAGTCAGTTTCATGAATGCAAAAAAAAATTATGTTTATATTTTAAATGAAACTCTAGAGTTTAATTTTTTTTACTGAAACTATGCTGTTGATCACCAATTCATTGAGGACAACTTGTAACCATGCACTTTTATTTGATGTTTCCTGAGGAACACAATATTTCCTGTGTTATAAATCAATTAAAACCACACAATATGAATTAGATTTGTTTTACATTAATGAGTGCTGCGTATAATTGTGTATTGTTAACATAATGAGTCTGTGTAACTTTAATAGACAGTTGTTATTTCTATAAGGAAGATCATATACAAATGTGATTTAGAAAATTCTGTTATTCAATTAAAGATTCCATCCATCCAACACAATGCCATTGATAATCCACCAAAGGATTGTAAGCAAAGAAAGTCACTAACACTTCAAAAGATTAGAAATGTATTTGATATCAGGGGTAATATATCCCTCCCTGTCCTGATAACTATAGAGAAGCAACGACAGCCTTCTCGGGCTACCTCCAACAATGCACATTAATTATGTATAAAAAGAAGAAATCAACCAACTAAAAGCTAAATGTGAATCTGATTCATTAAAAGTGCATGTTAAAAATAAATAATGTAATATTGTAATATTATATTATATATCATATTATTATATTATATTTCAGGTTTGAGTGTGTTGCATTTTCCAAATAAAAATGATGTCAGATTTATGAATAAGGCTGTATACTCTGGTAGCCAGATGGGCAACTATTTCCATCTTAGCCAGACAGCGAGCCCATCCAAAAAGATGACGTTACAGAGCCTGGATGCTTTTGAAAAATCATGCTCCGATCAATAAACTTGCAAGGAGCTGGGCTGGCTTATCAGATTTCTTATGACCATGTCTATGGCCACAAGATACCATCTTCTCTCCCACCCCCCTCCTCCTGTGTTATGCATAGCCTGTGGTCTCTCGCTAAAACATGACGCTAGCTGTGCCCCATCCCACTTAGGAGGACACAAATAAATAGTCTTCCCTCAATGGAGAGGACTGTGGAGAGGACACAGGGATGTCGAGATGAAATATTCATGGCCATTTGGAAGCACTCACGCAGGAATGGCACTGGTTTACTTTGTCGATTGGAGTGTGTTTGATGGATGTTAGTGGTGACAAATGTACAGATGGGTGTATGCGTGCATTCCTCAGAGGCAGGACTGACGTGACCACAACATTAACATTAAAACACCTTTTAACTGACTTAAAGAGGCCCTATTATGCTTTCTGTAGTGTGGTATAAATTAAGGTTTGTGTGCATGTGGTCTGCGAAGACTGAAATCCCTGTGTTCCCTCCAGAGGGAGTCTCTCCCCCACACACTCCCCCCACCCCCTGCCTGAAACGCCTTCATTGGACTCCTTTGTTTACTTCCGTAACATAATGACATCACCATGTAACACTCGCGCTTCTATTTGTTAGCGCTCCAACACATTGTATGTGATAGGCTAAGGGGCGGTACATCTTTAAGCGGTTAATCAATCACAACAAAGCAGGCCAGCTAACCAATCAGAGCAGACTGGGCTCTGGTTTCAGACAGAGGGTGAAAAGACGTGCTGCAGCACAGGCAGTATGAGAAAAATAAAGAGCTTTTTGAACATTAAAGCATGGAGACATGTCAGAGTAGAGGCACAAAATACAAATATGAACCTGAAAATTAGCATAATATGGGTCGCCTTAGAACAACTATGCTAAAGCCAAACAGAAACTGAAACTCTGGATTATTTCATTATGGATTTCTTTTTCTCAAGATAAATACAAAACTGTTAATTAAGGCCCCAACTTACAACATTCATATTGCCCATTTTGTCCAAACAATACTTAACCCTTAAAATGTACAATTCACTGTTAGAGCAGACATGAAAACCCGCAAATGTTCACTTTTTTATTAAAACATTTATGTAATTCTTAATGGATAAAAATGACCCCTGATAATTGAAAAACTCTTAAGCTTTATATAAAAAAAGGAAACATGTGAATCTTAGACATGAAATAGTGCAAGGTAAAATACACAATAAAATATGTTTGTATTTGTTATTATTATATTAAAATTATAATTATATATTGAATACAATTATATTATATTATTTTTCTATTGTATTATTTGATCGACTATACTTTTCTTACTGTATAAGGGTGCTCTTTTTTTCAAATATGGGGCGGTAAAAATAAATATATAACCCAATGAATCATTTTGTTTTAAGTCAATAAATATAACTTTATCATTATATTAACTGCATAAAAAATATCTAGTGAAATCGTTTCATTTGTTCAAATATTACCCTACACCACCTGCTGATAACTCCTTCCATGAGATGGCATTATGCCTAAACATGACTTTATAACCGTTTTAACTTATTTGTATCCTCTTATCAAGATCCCTATCAACCCTAAAGTATGCGGACTGATCTTAAGTGCATTTCTGCTCCACCACATCCCTGAGCAGCTCCATCATCGCGGTTACTGACCTTGCTGGAGAAGTGATGGTGCACAGCCAGGCTCAGCGCCTGCTTCTTCAGAGCAACAAGGGTCGCGGAGCACTTCTCACAGCACGCAACTTTCCTATCGGACCTCCCAAAGCCGGGATACGCGGACATAGTGCCTCTGCATAGGGTCCCACTCGCGGAGGACATGGTACTCCTGATGCGGTCTCCGAAGCTTCCAGTCAGGGACTTGTAAGACGGGACAGCGTCCGATCTCTGGCACATATTCCGGTCTCCTCTGGACCTCCCGGCCCCCTCAGGAGGAGGACGCTCCTGGGGTTTAATGCTTGCAGAAAAGCAGTCGGGATCACAGTGATGCTGCACTTCTGAGCTCTGAGAAATAAATCACCATGAGAAGGATGTGTGGGCTTTGGCAGAGGGGAAATACAAGTCAATCGATGCGTGGACAACTGTAACCACACCCAAATGTTGTTTCTTGCAGCCAATCATTAATATTCTTAAATAAAACTCTATGAAGACCATGCACTGTTTTCAAATCCTTACTAATAATGTACCCAATGAAACGACTTACCCAGTGTGCTCCAGGAAATCTCTCTCCTCTTCCAGTCAGGGATGACATGACAACTTGTTAATATTTAAAAAGATATCCGAACAAAGGCAGAGTGCACTTGTACATGATGTAGCCGAAGATCCGTGGATAAGAAGCAAAAGTATTTCACTCATGGTAGGTTTGTATACAAAAATGACAGAGTAAGAGGCAGGAGATGCTGTGTGTCTCAGAGGAGAGAGGACAGTGACAGAGAGGAGGGAGCGCACTGAAGAACACTTAATGATTTCACTTGGATATGTATCATAACCTCCTCAGGGAGGCAGTAAAGAGCAACACTCAGGAACAAGCTGTTGCACAGTTTGTTTATGGAATTACTTCCATTTCAAAATGTAACTCTGTAATCTCTCTAATGCAGTTACGTATGTAATAGAACAATCTTGCAACAGAATAGTAAAATACACTTATGCATGGACATGATGAGCCATCCAATCAGTTAGTAATCAATTCTAGGTATATATAGATTTTTATATTTTACGGTAAATAAAATATTCTATATATAAAACATATTGACTGTACATTTTTATTTTTGAAGCAGTAGAGGGGAAAAAATTGGGTCACTTTTGTAATTATATGAGCCAATTAAGAAGAGCATATAGGCTATAGGGGAATGCTTTAGAAAAAAAAACTGAATGGAACTATGCAAAACATACAACATCATGATCGTCATATTGTAGAATTAAGGTAGAAGTAGTAGAACCATTCAATTAAAGTGTTATCTCCAGCAATTTAGTACTGCACTCGCATAAAGCTGAGGGACTAAGAGACAGGTAAATAGAACACAAATCGATGCAGCAGATGTCGAGATAAACGCACTTTAAAATCCCTAGTATAAATTTAAAACACATGACCATAACATTAACAGACTTGACATAGCTCAAAAGTCAGACAAAATTAATAGTTTTCACTAAATTAGTCAAATCAGTGGAGTATACCTTTAGATAAGTGTAGACTGTTTTCTTTTTTTAGATAAGGAAAGAGGGACAACATATCAAACAAGCTTAATAGTGTCTTTAGTGTTGCAAAGGGGCAGTTTTTTCTGCATAAACAATAATTGATTAAATAATATATAAACATGCCAAAATGTGTTATTTATTCATAGTTTGATATTTCCGTTGTACAGAATAATGGAGTGCTCATTCAAAATCAGCACGTAGGATAAAACAAATTAATGTGGGCCCATTTAGAAAAAATATATATATTAAAAATGATACAAATAAAGTGTTGCCTTTTCGTTTACTTAATTGGCTAGATGGTTTTTGATTTCTTATAGTTACATATATAATTGTAAAATACGTTTTGATGTGAAAAAATCAGCCAGTAGGCTATGAACAGTTGTAAGATATTTACTCAATTAAAACGTTTTCATTAATCTTTTGTATTTTCCCTTTAAAGACATTACTTTTAGAAGAGGTTTTCAAAACATGAATTATAGCATACAAGGACTTTTGTTCCAGGTACCTTATAGTGTAGGTTACCTATAACAGGCTATTTTTTATTTAATTACTGTACTATTATCTGGCTAGAAACACGACGCATGCGTATTTGTAACTGTTATTTCTAGTTATTGGGCCAACGACAGATGGTCGGCGGGCTATATAACCACCAGGCCGCGCTGCTCTCTGGGTAATTACGGTAACGGACGTCATCCGCTTCCCCCACACCCAGCCGCTCAGCTCTTTTGCCGGTTAAAGCTTGGTCGGACAGCGCGGTGCCATTTGGCGCAGTATTGAGCTTCATCTTTCGACAAAAAGGCTTCCAGTTATTTATTCATAGTCGTATTTGTGAATTGTATTTAATATATTTGCCTTTAAACATTCACAATGAGCTCAATTAACGTCAAAAAGCTGAAAGTGAACGAGCTGAAGGACGAGCTGAAAAAGCGTGATCTTTCCGACAAGGGTCTGAAGGCCGACCTAATGGACCGCCTGCAGGTCGCGCTGGACGAGGAGGCCCTCGGCGGAGATTCCCCGCTGGACCCAGAAGCTGTGGCGGTCGAGGGTTCCGGCCAGGCCGCCGACCATGAGGGCATGGGAGAGGAAGAAGAAGGTGAGGGCCCGATAGAAGAAAGCATGGAGGCCAACGAGGATGAGGAGGAGGAAGAAGAAGAACAAGAACCGGAAAATGGAGGCAACGATGATGCCGTTGCCGAGGACGAAGAGATGGGTGAGGGGGAAGAGGACGAAGACGACGAGATGGATCCCATGCTCAAGGCTGATGTCGACGACATGGAGAAAATAGACACAGAGGATGGTGAGCCCGCAGACCAGACTGCAGAGGGTGAGTCGGCCGGGTTGGTTTGGAAAATGTGTCTGGCTGGATGGACTGTGGCTGGGTGTCGAGTTTTGCTATAGCGTTAATGCTACCGCGGTAGCGAGCCGATTGGGGATCATTACATATGAATGCGTTACCATACAACAGAGCGTCCATGTTGAGCTAGATGATAAACCAACTAAACTAGCAAGCGTTAGCATCAAACTGAAACCGTTAGCATGACATGCTCATCTGACGTTAGCATTGGTCACCACCTTGGTTAGCTAACGTTCACTATTTTGTAACGTTAAGTTTCGATAGTCCGTCCACGAAGGTAAGCTTTAGCTTATTTGTAATAGTTCAGTGTCGGTAAAAACCTAAAATACGCTAATGAAGTCAGAATTAATATTCATTTAACCTAGCTTAGTGCGGCTTTTCGTTTTGCTCGGTTAGCGTGTTAGCTTGCCAGCTAACGTCATTTTCTTTGTGTCTGAGGTGCCGTGCTAACTAGCGGATCAGTCGGTTAGCTAGTTCAGGGGTTCCCATAATTAAGGTTAGCTACGAATGGGGTGGTACAGTGGAGATGCACAAATATGATGAATAAACTTTGTATAACCTGTTTCATAATGGCGTAACATTAAAGCAGCATGTTTAAATATGTGACTGCTGCAGTGATAGTAGGGTGGCTTCGTCCGCCTCGAACTAGTCACAAGACAATTGGGGAGTTTCAACAAAAACGTTCCAAATTTAACTGAAATTACAAACTTCTTAGGAATAAACAGGGTGGCCTGCTGTTCAAAGTCTAAATGTATTAGCCTTCAGTAGAGCCGGGAACGCCTGAACTGTCTGACCCAGAGCTGTGCAGGAGATTGGGTTGGCACGTGGTTAGTTTATCGGTGGTTCGAATAGAAAGTGTAGTCTTGTTGGATGAAGATACAAATCTGAGTTTACGTGATTAGCCAACTAGGTTATGTAGGGCAAGATATGGGGGGGGGGGGTCAACCCAGGGCTTCGTAGGTATTCCCATTTCCTTGCATGATGCATTTGTCCCAGACAGCATTAGACTTCTTTGATGAAATGGCTGGATCCTATTGAGAAACACATATTCTAAGCCGGCTGGCTGACTTAATGTCCCTTTACTTTGCAGAGACTTGTTTTCCAGCCCCAGCAAACACTGTTCACAATGTTCATATCGACCAGCCTACATTGTAATTCTTATATCTGGTCATTAGAGCTGTTACAATTTCTGATTGTGTTTTATTTAAGTGTAATCATGAGGTGTTGCCTCTTTATTTAATATTGATGATTATGGTCGACACTGTAACTAATGAACGGGCTTTGTGGGCCAGAACCCCACTGCCAGTCCGACCTCTCTCTCACAAAAAGGAACACCTCATTCTATATCTTTGTTCTATTTTCAAAGGGGATGCGGACAAAGACACGAATGCTGATCAGAAGAATAAGAAGGGTGTTAAGAGACGCCGGGAGGAACATGGAAGGGGCTACTTTGAATTTATTGAAGAGAACAAATACAGCTGGTAAGGATGGGACAGAGCAAAAATGGCCTTCAGCATCCCTGAAGCGCCATCTATAGCTTTGTTGAACTGTATTGGCTTTAAGTGCCAATGCACATATAACTAGCATGAGGAAAACCCTCATTTTTAAGTATTATATTTATTAATAACCTTACTTTCACCTGTTTTTGAGGGTCATCCCTGACTACTTTAAGAGCCTTACCTTTACAGTGCCCACTCACATGTGTGATTGCATTCTGTAGCAGAAGTGCAACTATCAAGTCTCTCTGAATTTCCACATTTGTTCTTCATCCCACTTATTGTTTTGAAAGCCCATTGTGTGCTGAAGGTGAATCAAAGCTGCTCAAAGAGAACCCAGAGGAAAGTAGCAGAAAGGGGGGTGGAGAGGAATAGCTGAGGGGCGTGGGAGGAGGGGTCCACTGCTGCAGGGTAGCACACAAGGATGTAGCAAATTCCCCAAACGTCCACGGAGGAACTCACTATTGACCGTCCATCGTTTTTGCCTCGCAATGGTCTTGACATTTTTCCGTTTTTTATTTCACTGGTTGTATGACGTCAAAATGCTATCTCTGTCTCATGTCTTGTGTGTATGTTTTCATGGTGTGGATGCCTGTGTTTGCAAAGCTTGTTTCTATCCCCCCGCGCAGGTGACATCATGCATGGGTAGTGGTGAGTGGATGTGTGTGCATACATGTGCCGACTTCTTGGTGTTTTGTTTTCATTGCGCTGTTGACACAATAAGGATAAACCAGCCAGAATCAAATTTAAGACCAATTTTAATACATTTTTTTCAAAAGCCTGACATAATATACCATAATACATGTTACTTCCACCAGATTTGATAACATAGGTTTGCTTCCTTTTGTGGTGCCCAACCCTGACAACATAAATGTTAATGCAAGTGTCCATTAAACTCTATAAAATAAAAAAAAGCTCCATCATCACATTTCCCCTAACAACTGTTACTGTTTCACATCTACCCTATTTGAGGCCATGGGGTCTATAGAGCAGCAGCCATTGTTGGAGCCACTAGCTGACTTAGACAGTATGTTTGCCAAGCGCCCCCCCCATCCATGACAGATGTCTCTGGAGATGTAAAGACAGCTGCAAAGGAATGCACTAAATCTATATCTTACTTCTAAAAACACAACTTCACTGGAATTGCTTAAGCTTCAGTGTAAGGTTATTTTTCAACAATTTTGACTAGTTAGTCTTGAAATTAAGAGATTTTGGTACCTATTCTCATGCTACAGACTTGGTAAGTTGCTGTAGTTCTTGTGATACTTTGATTACTCGTTTTAAGCAGCCAATCATGGTGGAAACTCAAAACAGTGACTTGATCTTTTTGAATTTGGAATTCCCCTAAGGAAAGTTAAATATAACCGCACCTTCTATCAGCAGTCCTGGAGATCATAATATCCAATCTGAAAGGGGAGATTTTTTTTTATCAGCTTCACCAATGGATAGCCTTGCATTCAAGGGTTAGCAGGGATGCTTTCTCTGTAAATCTCTCATTTTAGATTTCGCTGGATACGGTAAGGTAAGTGTTGTCTGGCCAATCACACAGCTGACAATATCCTGATAAAACTTTGGAGGCTCGCTTGCCCCATTTACTCTTTCTATTTTGTATTGTTCCCCCCTAGTCTGTCTTTCCTCCACAAATATTTTTCGGCAAGTGGTACCCAAGGCCTCTATATGTTCCATGTAGCTGCACTGGCACGGGAATCCTCTTACTGACATGTTGGCATATCTTTTCAGGGCCTCATTCAAGTCTCCCGTGCCACCCCTTGAGGAGGAAGATGAGGAGTTTGATGACACCAAAGTCTGTCTGGATACCTGTGAGTGATTTTAAATGTGGATAATAACTCAATGTAAAGAAATATCTCAAGCAAGTTTTATGAATTCAAACACCTGTCCAAGAAGACATGACAATTACCAGGAACTATTGTGTTAATATCGACTGTCCTTTTTGTTGTGTTCCAGACAACTGCGACCTGCACTTTAAGGTGTCGCGGGACCGTTACAGCGCCTCATCTCTCACCATGGAGAGTTTTGCTTACCTCTGGTCCGGAGGCAAGGCCACCTACGGCATGAACAAAGGCAAAGCCTGCTTTGAGATTAAGGTACCGTTACAAAGCTGATGTATTCTACACTGTTCACACAATTGTGTGTTTACATTGTGAATAATTAACCTTTCCCTGCCATGTGAACCATAACACCTCTGAAGGGGTTGAGGCTTACATAGACAGTTAAACAATGGTTACAAATAGGTGTAAAATGTTTTTTATTAAAGCTACTTGTTGAACAAGCGAAAAATATCCTGATACAATTGTGTTTTTCTTCATGTCAACAGATTGCAGAGAAAATCCCTGTGAAGCACATCTCCAGCAAGAACATGGAGATTCATGATGTCCAGGTCGGCTGGTCCCTGTCTACTGGCACCCTACTTCTTGGTACGTTTTTCAATCTGTTATTCAGTAGTCGGGCTGTTTGTAGAGCTAATTGTTATGTCTATAGTGATCTGGCAATCATGGTATATCAGTGTTTCCCCTAGAATGGAGTCATAGCAGCGGTGCTAAGGCACGTGAGCCCAGCATAATGTGAGCGCGGAGCGCGTGGAATTTTTTAGTGCGTGCGAAATGCGCCCCGCCAATTTGTTTCTATGTGTCAGCACAAGAAAGGCTCTTGAGGCCTAGTACCAGGGCTGGTTCTAGACAATTTGCTGCCCTAGGTGAGATTTTAGGCGATATCGTATGTGTAAAGAATAAATGAAAAATTTCTACAAAAGACAAATACACTGCAGAAACTTATTGACATAGGTAATAGATGTAAAAATGGCTTCAAATGTATTCAGTATTGTATGAACATGTTTGAATTGGGGGGTGGACGTCACATCCTTTAGGGGGGTGCGGGGGTTATGTAAAATGCTTCAATCTGGTGCACTTTGAGCACACAATTACTAGAGACCTGATCTAGGGGGCACAACTCTAAAACGCCCATATGAAAAAGATCGGTTTACATTTTAATAATCAAATAAGTCTTTGAACATAACCAATAACTACCATAGCCAATAACAAATAAATGTAGCTTATTTTATTTTTGTTGTTCATTCATATCTTATTTTACCTAGTTAACATTTATTTATTCATGCACATTTTTGTATCTCTCCAACTTTAAACGATATTTTTGGTTAACTGTCCTATAGTATACATTTGAATGATTTCAAACCTGTTTTTATTTATCCTAATAATTATAAAGGAGTGCCTGGGAAATATGTGTTTACATAATTTGTGGTCAAAACGTTTGAGACCCACTGAGATAACTTAGACTAAAATTAACTATCTAAATACTCAGAGTCCTTAACCTCACTGAGCCTCTCAGTCTGACAGGAGAGCTCTCCTCCACCCTGGTTGTAGAAACATCTACTTCTTATATCCGTTAGCGCAGCTAGCACCAGATTCTAATAACATCAGCGCCGGTACCGGTGCACCCTCTCCCTTGCTCGCTCTCTCGCTACCACGCTACCAATTTGGCTGTGAGCTGCGTGCGCCTGATAAGCCAACATCCCCCACTTTCATCACTTACAGCGCCCACCGTACAGGGCAAATTAAACGTGTAACCGGGGTGAAAAGGGTGTTACATTTACTTAATTATGAATGTTGTTACATCAAGGCCGAACATTTGGATGAGCACCAACGGTCAAAAATGTTTTTCCCTCCCAGAGCTACCAGCGCAGCGCCCCCCAGATCTGGCGCCCTAGGCGACCGCCTGTTTCGCCTATGCCAGTAATACAAATACTACAAATCCACATAACAAACAATCAAAAATGAAAAAGGGTTCACCACTTATTATTATTTTAAGAAAAGAAAAAAAACTTTTTTTTTTGGGTACCTGGCTGGCGCCCCCGAGCAGCGGTGCTCATATTTCAGCAGCGGCGCTGCGCCGCCATTATTTGTATATAGGGGAAACACTGTATATCATTGATTTGATCCACAAAATGGTGACTAAGCCGATGCAGCTATTTGGTATAACTCATTCAGTCCGGGGGCTCATGCAGAATATAGAAGAGCTCAATATAAAACATTATCTTGGTGGGACTTAACGGTGCATTTCATTCATTGCAAGAGGAAAAAACTGACAAACTAAGGAATTCATGCATGTCAGGAGGCTGATGTGATCCTGCATGAAATGGCAGTCTGTCCGGAGAGCTCCCTCTGGTGGTTCACAGGCAGCATGACATGCTAATGTAAAATGGCTCCAGCTCTGGCTGCATAATATAATGGTCTTTGGCCTATGTCCAACATCAATGAATCAGAGTCTGAGGAACTGGGAGATTTAGTTAATTCAGGTCATCTTCTGTCACAAGATATTTTTAAGAATTGTGTCCTTCACTTAATTTTCAGGCGAGGAGGAACATTCTTATGCATACTCTGGGAAAGCCAAGAAGACCACCAACTGTGTGACCGAGGACTTTGGAGAAACCTACGAGGAGAATGACGTCATCTGCTGCCTCATTGTAAGACATAATGCTATCCTAATAACTCATTAAAACCAAGCAAGAGCAGGATAAGAAAGACACCAAAATTCACACGTGGATTTATGTGAATGCATTTTGCCTTCTTTCCTTAGGACTTTGAGGGAGATGAGGTGGTGCTGTCCTGTTCTAAGAATGGCGGGGAGCCAGCTGTTGCTTTCCAGGTCAACAAGGACTCTCTGAGCGGCCAGGCCCTCTTCCCACACGTCATCTGCCATAATTGTGCTGTGGAGTTCAACTTCGGCCAGATGGAGACTCCGTACTTCCCCCAGCCCCAGGGCTACACCTTCCTGCAGCAGATCCCAGTGGACGACCGTGTCCGGGGACTCAAGGGCCCACAGACCAAAGCTGACTGTGAGGTAAGCTTAGGAATGAGTAGATGCTATTTCAATTTGTCATGCACTGACCTTTAAAACTATAATATTCAGCAGAGATTGATCTTAATTGTCCTTTCCCTTCATGCCACATAGATCATAGTGATGGTCGGCCTGCCAGGCTCAGGGAAGACCACATGGGTGAAGAACCACGTCCAGGAGAACCCTGGAAAATACTACATCCTGGGCAGTGACACTATTGTGGACAAGATGATGGTCAGTACTGATAACATTTGTTATATTACATAACTCTGGGAATCCTGTGTCATGCTCTCTATCTCCTGCTGCTTTACGTTTTTAAATCTAATTTATCCTGTCATTTTCTACAGATCAACAGTCTGAAACGCCAGTCAAAGGACATCACAAAGCTGAGCGCCATTTCCCAGAGAGCACCACTTTTCCTGGGAAAGTTTATTGAGATTGCTGCCCGCAAGAAGAGAAACTACATCCTGGACCATGTAAGTGGCTTGCAATGAATCACACCTGATTGTTGCCAATATAAAATACATAAGAGTGTACTCTTAAATTACAGTATAATTGATCCTCTTTCTCCCAACCCCCCCAGACTAACCTGTCTGCCCCGGGCCAGAAGAGGAAGATGTGCTTGTTTGCGGGCTTCCAGCGCAAGGCTGTGGTGGTCTGCCCTTCTGATGAGGACTACAAGGAGAGGGTCCAGAAGAAGGTGGAGAGCGACGGCAAAGAAGTGCCCGAGCACGCCCTCTTTAAAATGAAAGGTATAGAAGATGTTTCAGCCATAAAGCCGTAGTAGTAGTAGTACTACGTCTCTTTCCTTCCTTTTCCGTCATATTCGGGTGTAGTAATGTTCGGTTTATTTTCCTTCCATTCCAGGCTTCTACTCGCTGCCGGGGGAGGGAGAGAGCTTCAATGACGTCGTCTTCGCCGAGCTGCAGAAGGAGGAGGCCGGCAAGCTGCTGGAGCAGTACAAGGAAGAGAGCAAGACTGCCCTGCCCGCTGAAAAGAAACCCAACCAGGGAAGCACAACACCAAAAAGGGGGGGTGGTCTGCGTGGAGGCGGACGCGGGGGCGGGGGCAAGAACCAGTTTGGCCGTGGAAGTGGACCTGGACCGAGAGGCGGCAGCCGCGGAGGCTTCCAGAACAGAGGCAACTTCAGAGGAGGTAAACTGACATTTTGGGATGTATTAATGCCATTATTTTTGCAAAAAATCATTATTGTATTCATGCTAACTTTTCCAATTTCCTCTGTAGCTCCCGGCCCTCGTGGAGGCTTCAACCGCCCACCCCGCGGCTTCCTGCCTCCCCCCGCCTTCAGAGGAGGCTTCCATAACCGTGGAAACTTCAACAGGGGAGGCGGCCCTATTCCTAGTCTGGGCGGATCCCCTCGTGGCGGACCAATGAGAAACATGGGACCCAGAGGCGGACCCATGAACAGAGGTGGTCCAATGAACAGAGGCAACATGAGCAGAGGGGGTGGAGCCAACATGCACCGTGGAGGGGCCCGGGGCCACCACAACCAGGTGGGTTTGATACCGACTCGTACATCCTTACAGCACGTGGTTTGGATTTCTAACAGTAATTTTTCTATAAAATGTCCTTATTTGTATTGTAGCAGTTCCAGCCGAGAGGTGGTAACCGCGGCAACTACGGCAACTTTGGAAACAAGAATGGCAACTTTGGTGGCAACAGGAACGGCGGCAACTTTGGTGGCAACAGGAACAGCATGGACAAGGCCCAGGCCTTCAACCAGAGCTGGCAGCAAGGGGTCAGTACTTGGAGCAGATAAAAATCATTCTTGTGCACATCACAAGACTTCTAACGCCGTCAATGCCCAATACATAAGCAAATCGGGCCCATATTTTACTAGTTTAATGTGAATATTAAAAAAGGTCCAGTCGAATATTGTCTCCACAAGCACATGGAGCATAGCTGCAGTTTTTTTTTTAAAGAAAGATGATAACTACATTGGTGTTCTCAGTGAAAAATACTAGGTGACATTATCCATATTGAAAAATATAATTGTGTTCGGATGGAAACAATCTCATTATACCCCAACAGTGTTATATGATGGTACTGTGTGTATATTCAATATTACCGTAAAACCTGTACTAAAAGTGCAAAACATTTTCCACACCCAAAGAGTTTTTCAATAAGTAGATGATCTGAAAGCAAACGTATCTTACTTTTTTGTAATATACAGTGGGGCAAAAAAGTATTTAGTCAGCCACCAATTGTGCAAGTTCTTCCACTTAAAAAGATGAGGCCTATAATTTTCATCCTAGGTATACCTCAACTATGAGAGACAAAATGAGAAAAAAAATCCAGAAAATAACATTGTCTGATTTTTAAAGACTTTATTTGCAAATTATGGTGGAAAATAAGTATTTGGTCACCTACAAACAAACAAGATTTCTGGCTCTCACAGACCTGTAACTTCTTCTTTAAGAGCATCCTCTGTCCTTGTTAACTGTATTAATGGCACCTGTTTGAACTCAGTGTAAAAGACACCTGTCCACAACCTCAAACAGTCACACTCCAAACCCCACTATGGCCAAGACCAAAGAGCTGTCAAAGTACACCAGAAACAAAATTGTAGACCTGCACCAGGCTGGGAAGACTGAATCTGCAATAGGTAAGCAGCTTGGTGTGAAGAAATCAACTGTGGGAGCAATTATTAGAAAATGGAAGACATACAACACCACTGATAATCTCCCTCGATCTGGGGCTCCACGCAAGATCTCACCCCGTGGGGTCAAAATGATCACAAGAACGGTGAGCAAAAATCCCAGAACCACACGGGGGGACCTAGTCAATGACCTGCAGAGAGCTGGGACCAAAGTAACAAAGGCTACCATCAGTATCCAGGCCCGTCTGAAGTTTGCTAGAGAGCATTTAGATGATCCAGAAGAGGATTGGGAGAATGTCATATGGTCAGATGAAACCAAAATAGAACTTTTTGGTAAAAACTCAACTAGTGTTTGGAGGAGAAAGAATGCTGAGTTGCATCCAAAGAACACCATACCTACTGTGAAACATGGGGGTGGAAACATCATGCTTTGGGGCTGTTTTTCTGCAAAGGGACCAGGACGACTGATCCGTGTAAAGGAAAGAATGAATGGGGCCATGTATCGTGAGATTTTAAGTGACAACCTCCTTCCATCAGCAAGGGCATTGAAGATGAAACGTGGCTGGGTATTTCAGCATGACAACGATCCCAAACACACCGCCCGGGCAACGAAGGAGTGGCTTCGTAAGAAGCATTTCAAGGTCCTGGAGTGGCCTAGCCAGTCTCCAGATCTCAACCCCATAGAAAATCTTTGGAGGGAGTTGAAAGTCCGTGTTGCCAGCGACAGCCCCAACACATCACTGCTCTAGAGGAGATCTGCATGGAGGAATGGGCCAAAATACCAGCAACAGTGTGTGAAAACCTTGTGAAGACTTACAGAAAACGTTTGACCTCTGTCATTGCCAACAAAGGGTATATAACAAAGTATTGATGAACTTTTGTTTTTGACCAAATACTTATTTTCCACCATCATTTGCAAATAAATTCCTTAAAAATCAGACAATGTGATTTTCTGGTGTTTTTTTTTTTTTCTTTCTTTCTTTCTTTCTTTCTTTTTTTTTTTTCTTTCTTTTCTTTCTTTCTTTCTTTTCTTTCTTCTTTCTTTCTTTTCCTCATTTTGTCTCATAGTTGAGGTATACCTAGGATGAAAATTACAGGCCTCTCATCTTTTTAAGTGGGAGAACTTGCACAATTGGTGGCTGACTAAATACTTTTTTGCCCCCTGTACATATGATTGAGTGTACATACCCATAATAAATGTGTCATCTCTTGTGTCCTGTGCAGTTCTGGAACCAGAAGCCCTGGAGCCAGCAGTACCAGCCTGGATATTACTAAGACACTTGTAACTGACTGGTGGCCCACACTAAGATCCACCTCAAGCCACGGAACATCCCTCCACCCCGCTTTTTCAGATTTTCTTTTCCTAGAACCCCATTTTTAATAGCTTAAAAAAAAAAAAAACTGATAAATATTTACCGTGATATGGAGCAACAACATTCCACATCAGGGAGGAGACGTCATCCTGAGTGTAATTGAAGCTTTATATATATCTACGAACACATTCTTGGGTTTCCCCAAATCATCCGGTTTCTTTCTTTTCGTTGTACATTTCCTTTTTTCACCTCTTTTAAATGACGTGCTTTTAAAGAAATCTGTTTGTAATATCAGGAACCAGAAACATTTTGCTAGCCCGGCAGATGTTGATAAAGGTTTTTTTTTTTTTTCAGGGTTGTGTATTTTTATCTGTGCTGTGATTTTTATTTGTTTTGCTTTTTTGTTACAAATTGTAAATATAATTTTTTTTTTTTTGCGTAGTTTGTATGAGAAGGAACCTTGGCATATTAGAGAGAAGCATGGTAGCTGCATATATTGTTAGTCCACTGTCAATCAGTTCAACTGAAGTAACAGATGACTTGTCTTTTGTTCCCAGTATCAAACCTGTAACCTAAACTCCATAGATCTACAATAAACAACTCGTTGGCTTTTTTACATTCTTCCTGGCTATTGACTTTTGATTCAGTTCAAAGGTGTGTAAAAGACCTTTGAGTGGGTGGAGTCCTAGTTTGTTACTTCAAACAGGAAGGACACGCCTCCAGTTTACACCTCATTAACAAAGTATTCCCTTCAAGTGTTTCTTTGATACCATGTAGCTATTCTAATGTACATTGCTTTGAGACAGTGTTTCGACCAAGCCATTTTAAGGATCTAAGTAAGCCATTTTGTACAACATTTCTCTTTTTTAAATTTGTGTTTAAAAGTATTTGTTCTTAGAAAATAGAGCCCTTGATTCTCAGGTTTATCAAAGGGTCCTTTAGTGCAGTAGACTTCTGAAAACAGCTAGCACTGATCAACTAATTCCAAATCAGAACCACAATTTATGATTCAAATGACAACTATTTAACATGTTTGAGAGTTCAGCACAAATGGAGTGAAAAGCAGGCAGGGTTACTCATTTTCACCAGCAAACCTAAAGGGCTGTACCATGACAACACCACCATGATGGAAATGGATGACGTTTTTCAACTTAAAGGCATTATTTTTTTGAATTTAGGTTCGTCTAAGTGACTGTGGCCCCCCGCAATAATGGCAGCTCCTCATCCAACAGCTCATAAAATGTCCCTGCACATTTTCCCTGGCAGAGGACGCCCTGCCTAACCCTGCAACATCAGAACTGGAAAACCTGATCTGTGTTTCTAATGTTTACCTCCCGGTGTTATTAACAAACATGTAAATACATCTCAACCATGCACGAATGTTCATTAATGGGCTTGGAGTAATAACTGTATTGTGATAACAAAAGTGTTGGTTTGCCTAAATAACTGCGATGTGATTAATTGTCCGCTAAATTTAATTGTGTGGAGAGTTTTTGCTCCTTTCATTGTACTTGATACATAAAATCTAGCAGAATGCAAGCTTTGAGTTTACAGTATAACACGACAGACACTATATTTTTATCGCTTTATGTTGCAGGTTGTATATCGGGTCTTTTATTATTAAACCCACAATGTAAAAACTTTGGGACATTTTTCAGATTTGTTGTCTTTTCTATCTTACGGTTTTTTGATATTTGTGTTAAAAGAATTTGGGACTATTATTTTTTATTTGTCTCAACTCTATTAAAGTTTAAGAAGCTGGTATATGACTGCGTGGTTTGTTACACTAAAACACATTTAACTCCCTCAGAAGATTACAGGTTTCATTTCATGTAGCTGTTTGTGAAGCCGATAAACAAAATAAAGATTTAAGCTAATTAAAATTTTGAATTTGAACTTTGAATTGATTTTGCATGTATTTAGTAGATGCATTTGGGGAAGAAGAACTATGTAATGTACATAAAGGTAGGGTGAGTAATTTACTTCAGAAACCCTTTTTGTTATATTCCATGGAATGCTCTTAACATCCCGATAGCAATGAATAAATGAAATGCTTTGACAATAAAATGTAATATATACAAATATTTCATCTGTAGAAGCCGTAGTATTGTAAAAAGCACGACCAATCATCTGAGCCAGCCCGGCTAAAATAACTGGATGGACTACCCGCCTGTCATCCTTCCATCTGTGCACAAACTTATCTCGTGCCCTCATTGGTCATGTGCGCGTTCGTGTGTGTTGGAGGAGGGGCTCTGTAAGGAAGTGGCAGATTTTTTCCGTCTGTATTTTCAAATTCTAGCGCACTGGTTTTTTTTATGGATTTTTTGTCAAAGCATTTAAGACATTCATTGCTATCGGGATGTTAAGAGAATTCCATGGAATATAACAAAAAGTGTATCTCGAGCTGGTTTCTCAAACTTACCTACCCCACCTTTAAGTGAAAGTGACAATACCAAATTGTAACAATTCTCTATTAAAAGTAAAAGTATAAAAAAAACATTTACATTTCACTTGTAAGTGCAAACATTTGGTAGCCTACTCATTATGCATATTTGCCCACTTTGGAATCCTAATAAATGACTGGATTATGATTATTGATGCATTCATGTGTTCATCACAGCTGGTAAGGTGTAATTGTAATAACTGTATATACTGCTGTTGGATATCCTAAACTAAAATGTTTATTCATTAGTTAATGTACATTTTTTATTAGCTAATAATCAGAATCTGTAATGTAACTAAAGCTGGCAAAGGTAGTCATGTAAAAAATACAATACAGGCTTTTGAAATGTAATAGAGTAGAAGTATAAAGTAACATACAATGAAAATACCCAGTTAAAGTACCTTTTTAACTAAGGTACTTGAGTAATGTGCTTCATTACATTCCACCACTTAGTGTATGCACCTCTCGCAGAAATTACAGCCCTAAATATGTGTGAAATGTCAACAATCTTGTCGAGTTGACGATTTTGATGTTGTCCTTAAGCAATGTTAAGCCTCTGCTATGCTCAGATGGAAACGTGTCACGAATGCAGGTTTCATGCAGTTAACAAATTGTCCTTTTTTCTGCATTCATTTTTTGGACTTATGAGATGGAAGGTCAATATTGGTAAGTCCACTACTTTGGTATAGACCAAAATATCACAACAAATACTGGATGGATTACCATGAGATTTTGACATTGAATGTACCCAGAGAATGAAGCCCAATGCCGTTTTATGGCGCAATCATGAGGATAAAATGTGTGGTTCAGTTAAAATATCTTGAAAACCTTGGTAAGAAAAAAGTTCAGCACTCTTGTTCTACTGGATAATGTAATGACCTTGGTGTCTTTGACTTTTACTCAACCTCTTTTTGTTTTTCTTTGAAAGATGTTGACCACTTTTGGATAGATTAAGTATGAACTTTGGTTTGGACATTCATGATCCCCAGAGGAAACATTGTTATAGTTTGAACCTCTTATCTTTGACCGGCTTCATCATCAGGTCAATTTGTATCTGGTTCCTGATCAAATATCTGCTTAACCAATGACATTGTGCTTGATGCTAATTAGCAAATGTTTGCATGCTAACATGCTAAACTAAGAGGGCAAACATATACACACCTGATAAAAATCCAGGCTGATGTTAGCATTTAAGCTAAAAGTTGTGTGTAGCTACACTGAGCTGCTAGACTGTCTGTAGACTTTTGTTTTAGAGTGACTCTCTCTTTGCCACTGTCCCGGTAAAGCATCATGAAGTTGTCTGTCTCTAGATTTTTAGCCTCTGAAGCTCATGCTCCTTCAGGGCAGGGCCTGTTCAGGGCAGATTCACAAAATTCAAATCCGAAAATGTCCAAACGGGGGCAAACTACAGAACGTTGTCCATTTTTTATTGGCCCTCAGCAAATTCAAAAAGTATGCTTTTCTTATATTGTACTTCTTAAATATTCGTTATCTAATCATAATATTACATAGTACCATTCATGTGTTAATAAGCCCACTTTTCAAATGATTACAGTAAATTCAAGTTGAAAACATTTTCTAATCTTGGTTGATAGAAAAAGCCCAATAACTTATTTGCATGATAGCTTGAAATATACCATTCATATTTCCCCTTATTATAAGCAATCTGAGGCTCCTTTTTTAAAGAATGAGCTGCCAAATCTTTATGTTATAAAATAAATGAAACCGTAAAGCTGTGACTGTTTGTTTTCTCAAAGCATACTCAAGTATCAAGCATTATTTACCTGCATTTGATTTTGCTTACTTATAACTTAACGTATGGCAATATACCTCACTTCTAGCTAGTGGCCCAGCTCTTTGTGTGTTTTTCTATATGTGGCCCTCATTGAAAAAACATTTACACCCCTGATCTAGACCTAGACCAGTGGTTTTCAAACTATGGGGCGCGACCCCTGGTGGGTCGCGGAGGTAGGCTACTGCAGGGGGGGGCGCGGGAAGATTTTTTAATTTTATTATTTTCTCCTTTTAGCTTTGTGAAGCACCTTGAGATGACATTGTTTTTAAAGTGTGCTATATAAATCAAATGTATTATTATTATTCAATTGTAAACTAACACTGCTCGAAAATATCTCATTGGTCAGAGAGCTGTGGGCATAATGCTGCCTTTTGCAACATCCTACTGGTGTGACATAGGCTTTTCTGCTGTTGCTGCCATCAAAACGAAATACAGATCAAAGCTGAACATTGAGAATGAACTGAGAGTGGCAGTCTCAAAACAACAGCCCCGGTTTGAGAAGATCTGCAAGGGAAAGCAAGCACATACAAGTAATTGATAAGCTGTGTGGAATGAATAGGAATGGTAAAGTGATGTGATCGTTTGCAACCTGCAGTATAAATAGTAGTTCATTAATATATTTCCCTTAAAGAAATTTGAATTTAAAAATCTACTACTCATAAGGCCTGCTAGTTTTAATTAGGCTAAATTAATTCACAGTATCTATTACAAGCACTTTGGTTCATGTTTAATCTATAATAAAATATAAAATGATAGTTGGATCTTTGTATCTTCTTATTATTAGTAGAGAAAATGTAATGTTTTTACAACAATATACAATTAATCCTACCAATATAGATGGAACCGGGTTGGGGGGTCCCGAAAATATTTCCAATTACACAAGGGGGGCCCGACTGAAAAAGTTTGGGAACCACTGATCCAGACTGTTCTTGTCTGAGTTGCAGAGTGCCAGATATATCAGACAAATATCTGTCTCCTTTCTACTATTATGGAACTAGATGGGATTTGGTGCTCAAATCACAAAAATAAAATACATTTGAAAAACTCTATGTCTCTTTTGAGAGATCATGACCCATAAGATTAGCCATACCACACACCTGGTTGTGAGTAGTTTTATAGGAGCTACTTTCTTTCTACCAAACTACAACAACCAACTATATTTCAGCGCAGAAGGAATCATGCTTCTAAAAACGAGATGTAAACATTACTAAATTCCTCTCCGGCTGAGCTGTAGCTAGCTAGGTGATTAGATAGAAGCTTTCTTCAGCGCAGTGATACGGTTGACATGCTTAGTTTGGTAGAAAAAAATAGTTTCAACATACTTCCAACATGATCTGTGGAAGTAAATTGGGTCATGGTTTCTGTAAAGAGACATTGCTGTAGCGTATTTTAAATGTATATTTTTGCCGCTTTGAGCTCCACAAGGTCGGTGCCATCTAGCTTCATTATATTGGACACAATATAGGCCTATATATTATTTTTTTTACGGCCAATATCTTAACACTAACTACCTGCACCAAATCACACTAAATTGATAGCACTTCAGGTACGATTTTTTTCCCACAAGATGTAAAAATGTAAAAACTCCTCTACAACTAATCAGCAATGCCAGCTTGCTGGGTAAACGTACACTTTCTTCTGTGCAGTGATATGGTTAATGGTCATAGTTGGTAGAAAGAAAGTAGATCCTTCATAAAACTACTTACAACATGGTCTGTTGATTCTGTTTGAGTAACTGGGTCATGGTTAATGCAAAGACATATTGCTGTAGCACATTTAAATTGTATTTTTGGGCGAATTGAGCACCACAAGCTTAGTGCCATATAGTTTCATTATATCGGAGAGAAGGCTTTATCTTTATGGCCGATATCCTAACACTTGACCACTCGTACCAAAACAAACAAGATTATTTAATAGCACTATATAAGATTTTTTTTACCGCAAGATGTAAACATCAAAACTTCCTCCACAACTGAGACGTTAGCTAGCTGTTAGCCATTTCTTCTGCGCGGTGATACAGTTGAAGGGTGTATTTTGGTAGAGACAAAGTAGTTATTTCATAAAACTACTTCCAACATGGTCTGAAGATTATTTTTGAGTACCTGGAACATGATTTATTTAATGAAACATTGCCATAGAATATTTTAAATGTATTTTTTTGCTGCTGTGAGCACCACACGATAAGTGCCATCTAGCTCCATTATATTGGAGACATGGCATTATCATGGCCAATATCTTAACACTTGACGACTCACACCAAAACACACTAAATTGATAGCACTACACGAAACATTTTTTGCCCGCAAGATGTATAAATAAAAAAATCCTCCACAACTAAGCAGTAACGCTAGCTAGCTTGGTAAAAGAACACTTTCTTCTGCGCA